AGATGAGTAAGTCTGATGAAGGTGGGTGGAGAGTCAGTGGGATAATGCAGGTAGCTCAGGGCATCTTGGGGTACCGCAGAGAACTCAGAAAGTTGGGCCATATGATTCATTTGTACTACATTTTTCTTAATATCTGAGTGATGAAATTACTCTTAATTCTTGGCATTCTCATTGCTTAGTCTACAAGACTGGGACACCTATTTAGCAGTGCTGATAGTAAAATTTCAGTTCTCAAAAAGGACTTTTCACAAAGTCTTTACTGGTTGAATGAACAGTCCTGTTTGGAGCAGTCACAGTTAAACTACATTGACTGTGGCAATTGGCACCTGAATGCTTTTATTCACAACTGATGCATCTCCAGTGTGCATATGGTAACCCACATTCCTGTATTTGAGCTGGCTCCTCCCCTGTTTTTCCCTATATACCAAACAAACATTTTAATATTGACACTGCTATTTATTTTCTAGGCAGTTTTTCTGTGGTCAGTGATATCTTGTTGCTCCTATTTACATTTGGTGCAGAGACCTGGCAGAGATTCTTAAATTTTTCTTTGGACATTTGATACTTTTAAATGAACCCAAACCTTCTGATTCAACCATCTTAGGCTATGGATACTTTGCCTGTGTTGACCTCTGTCACACAGCATAACTGATGCTAAATTTTAGAATCTATCTCTTCAACAGTTTCACTCCATGTACTCTATCCACCTTTTCCCCCTCAACTATTATGTAATAGCCATGACAGTTTAATCTATGTGGGTTTCCTACAAAGCTGTCTGGGCATGTTGTACTTTTCCACAAAGTCATGCTAATACTTCAGGCTGCCTTTCTTCATCCTCCTGGATACCAACACCTGGTTAGGGACACCCATCTCTCATGGTTTGGGAACTCTACTAAATAATCTCAATCCACTTGGAATACCTTCTTAATAGAGTTTCTGTCCTACTACACTTGTTCCTGAGTCTCACTGTAGTTCATTGCTCCATCCCTCTGTATCCTTATAATCTGCAAACCCTATCGTTTGATGTTCATATACAATGTCAATCTCCTTCTAGCAAGTTTCCTAGTCATAACACCTTATGATTGAATTTCGGGAGAAAGATATTTTTCTCATTGTTTTCAATCCAGTTTTTACTCTAATACTGGGATTTCTATTCTGTCAAGCCAAACTCAGAAATTTTCTGGTCAGCAGGTGAAATAAGAGGAACACATATTCACTGCTTCTGTGAATACAAACCAGTGCAGTCACTATGGTAATTGTGGTAATTCTTTAGAAAGCAAGGAATAGACTGAATTTAAGATTCAACTATATATTTTGTGGCGAATACCCAAACAATTTATATCTTACTAGATTTGTACTTGTTCTACTTTGCCTATTATTAATCTATTCATAATAATAAGAAATTGTAAACAGCCTACATATCTGTCTTTGGATGAATGGATACAGAACAATATGGTGCATGTACACAATGGACAATTATTCAGTTCTAACAAAAATTAACCATCAACTTTGCAAGTAAATAAATGGAGTTAGAAAAAATATCTTCAGTGTGATGACCCAGACAAAAAGACCAATATGATAAATATTTGTTTTGCATATGTGTGTGTGAGTGTGTGTGAATGTTATTTATTAAATCTTTGAAGAGCAGTGTACCATCAGTATAACCATAAAAGTTAAGTATAAAGTAAGGGATTAGGTAGCAGAAAAACATCACTAGAATGAGAAAGAAAAAACATATATGGATTCATGAGGAAGGAGGGTACTGGACTGGATACAGAGGATAAAATAATCACAAGGAGGAAAGGGATGAGTGAGGAAATACAGAGAGGGAGAGCTAACACTAACAGACATTGAGGTATCATATGGAAAACTAGTAGAGTAGAAACTTAAAAATCTAACATTTCTGAAAGAAATCTAAATGGAATCACCAAACAACAGGAGAGACAAAACATCAACTAGTTACCTCTCACCAAAACCAAACCTCCCGTGCCAGACATGACTTATATCTAATCAAGTTGATGGACAAAGGGTTCACATGGAAGCACTCAAATAACCAGCATGTTACAAATGTTCTACATTTTATAGTTGTAATTATAATTATAAATTAGTTATAATAAAACTATAACACCAATAAAATGATGTTGGAAATCTTTTTTAAAACATTTTTTTAAAGATTTATTTTTATTTTATGTATGTGAATACAATGTCACTGTCGCTATCTTCAGATACACCAGTGAAGGTCATGGGATTACTTTACAGATGATTGTGAGCCACTATGTGGTTGCTGGGAATTGAACTCAGAACCCCTGGAAAATCAGTCAGTGCTCTTAACTGCTGAGTCATTTCTCCAGGCCCCAGTGTTGGAAACATTATAAGATATCAGTGCATAATTTATATGATTCTGATGGTTTACTTTTTAAGTTGCAATTTCAGATAGCCTTGGTGGTAAAGGCCTATAGTCATAGCTGCTTTATGTAATGAAACACTAGAGTGGTGTATTGAAAATAGACTAAGATATACTTGGTTTAGGCACATCAGTGTCAATTGTGTGTGTGTGTGTAACTGAGTGGTAAAATTTATGAGGTAGATTTTTGTGTGATATAATATAAATCTCCACTACCAGAATAGATTTACAATTGAATTTCCAATTTAATTAATAGCCTTCTTAAAGGATGAAAATTATTGTATGACATAGTCAGAAAATAAAGAAAGGACAACTGGAGGAGAGGTTGTCCCTAATCTGTTAGATGTATATGATTCCCATATTCCCTATTGGGCCTCTTTGTTTGGCCTTAGTTGATGTACTGTGTTCTGGAGTATCTTCATGTGTGGGTTATACCAGCTGAGGCCTCTCCCTTCTCAAAGAAAAAAGGTAGAGAAATTGGGGGTAAGAGCTATGTGCAGGTGTAGACTGGGAAAAAAAAGTGGAACTGATATTAGATTTTAAAGTGGATAAATAAATAAATAAATAAATAAATAAACCAAGTCTCTAAAATACAAAATAAAACAATTAAAAATGATATATAAAATTATTTACTCAGTGCCATGCATTTAATATAACAGGTAGTATTCCACAATGAAAATAGAGAGGTAGGAGAACATTCAAATTTCAGATTATGGGTGTGATTTTTTAAATATATATTTTAAAAAAGAATAATCATGTAGTAGTTATTACTAGCTTAGCACATATATGCTGGTAATGACTTGCTTTTTTGGCATACTGCTCTAGGACAAATGGTTCAAAGAACACAAGGTTGATAAATCAGACAATAACTAGACCTAACCTTTAATAATTGCATGGATATAGACAAGAAAAGAATGAGAGTATAATATTAAAGATGACAGAGGTAGGAGTGGAGGGAGACACATCACTAATCTTAGAAATGTCGCCCAATAAGAACAAGACTAAACTGTGGAATGTTTGATTGATACTGTTCCACTATTCCAGAAAGCCTACTAGTAGAGATGAGTTATAAGGCTGATTCATTTATTTGGTTTAAGCATATTCAACAAATGTCTTTTATTTTCTGAATAATGATCAGCTTTAAATCAAACAATGGAAAAAGAAAACCAGTTAAGTAAAATTTAATATATGTATGTGTATGTGTATATATATGTGTATATGTATGTGTATATGTATGTGTATGTGTATGTGTATATGTATACATGAAGGCAGTCCTAAATAAAACCCTAAATTAAACACTTTGGTTCATTTCATGAGAAAAGTGATTGCAAACCATTGTGAAAAAAAATGAAGTTTCAGAAATTCAATATGTGGAGTTATAGTACTTGAACACTGTTTTACTATCATTAGTGATCAAGAAAATTGACAAGAAATATACAGCAAAGAAAAAACAAAATTTAAGATTCAGTCAACAGAGATGGTGCACATGGATAATAACTTTGATTGATTTTTCATAATAATTGGAAACTTGAACAAATATAATTTTGTACACATATATAGAAGATATTCATAAAAAATAGAATTGGATCCAGGCTACAATATATCATGAAAAAATAAAGAACTCCTAGTTTGTAAAGAACCTTAAAAATATGTGTGAAGTTTATGAGGGCAGTGGTTTATTTTATGTATGCAATATTATGAAGTGTGGGAGTAAACTCACCTATGTTCAACTGGTTTCCAGTGTCAGAGAATCAAATATTTAAAACTTTGCACTACTAGTAGTACTGGTCTTTAAGGATATGAACTCAGGGGTTTAGACTAATAATCATGTAGTTGGTATAATGAGAAGCTTTAATCATCAAGTCTCCTGAGAATAAGAAATAAAGCATTCAGATTGTGACCTACTCAACAGCATTTCAAAAATCTTGAAATATCTTGGACATATTTCAGAGGTAATTCATCTTTAACCAGGAATCTCTTCTTTACTGTTGTCTGTTTGCATTTCTAAGGGGGATTTCTTCCATTTGCAAAGTACGGGTGATGGTGAGATACTTACATTATTCTGGTGGACAGACAAAAAAATCAAGACTCTATTACTAATTTTTAGAAATGAAGGAGGGATTACTATATTATCAACATGGTGAATCAGAAGAGCATGCTTAAAGAGATTGGAAAAAATTCCACATATTTGTACTCCTATTATCAACTTAGCACAGAATTCATTTCATTACCATTAACTTTTCTACTGAAACTCAATCTGAATCATTCCTTAATTGTCATCTTGTTATAATTGTAGGTAACATGGTAACATTTCATGAAAAGCAAAAAAAAAGTCTTTTCTCAAATACAATGACTTTACATATTTATCCAGGCATTTTTAATCATTCTTGTACTGATATTAAAAGTAAGTTCACTATTAGTATTAATTACTAGATAGTCATAGCTACATAGGACAAACTAGATGGCATTGCTTTCCAACCAATTTCTGCACATCCCATTTCTAAAATGGAAATAGAAAGATAAATTTGAAACACTGAGGCATATGTCAGATTCATTTCTAACAAATCTCATTTTATAATTCTACTTGTATTTCCTGTATTTCAATAGCTTCTTGTTCTCTTTCCTTAAGATTCACGTGTAACATGGAAGTTAAAAACAGATCAGTTGTTTTGGATATTTTTCTTCATGGTCTCACAGACGATACAGAACTTCAGCCTGTCATCTTTGGTCTTTTTCTATGCATATACTTGATTACCATCTTTGGAAATCTTCTTATAATGTTGGCCATCAACTATGACTCCCACCTCCATACACCCATGTATTTCTTTCTCTGTAATCTTTCTTTTAATGACATGTATTTAATCACTATCACAGTCCCAAAGATGTTGGTGAATATACAAACACAGGATCAGAGGATTACTTTTGCTGGCTGCCTCAGCCAGGGCTGCTTTGTTGCAGTTTGTACCATCTTTGAGTGTTTTCTCCTTGGAGTAATGGCCTATGACTGCTATATAGCCATTTGTTATCCTCTAAGATACACTGTCCTCATGAATTCCTGTTCCTGTGTTATTCTGGTTCTTATCTCTTTAGTTGTTAGTATTGTAAATGGTCTGCTGCATAGTCTATTGGTGCTACACTTGTCATTCTGCATAGATCTGGAAATCTTCCACTTCTTCTGTGAAATTGCACAAATCATCAAGCTTGCCTGTTCTGACAGCCTCATCAACAACATTTTGATATTTGTTACAGCTTCTGTTTTTGCTGGTGTTCCTCTATTTGGAATAATTTTCTCTTATGTTCACATTGTTTCTACAGTACTGAAAATGCCATCATCAGAAGGAAAGTACAAAGCTTTTTCCACTTGTGGGTCTCACTTGTCAGTTGTTTCCTTGTTCTATGGGACAGGTTTTGGTGTATACATTACCTCCAGAGTAATTGATTCACCAAAGAAGATTGCTGTGGCTTCAGTGATGTACTCAATAATTCCTCCAATGATGAATCCCTTTATTTATAGTATGAGGAACAGGGATATAAAGGAGGCACTGAAGAAGGTAATTGGTAGGAGAGCTTCTTTTCCCTGATGTGTGGTGAAGCTTTGGCTTGGCTGTCTAGTGTAAGTCAAAGTTATAGGATTTGTCTTGAGCCAGCTTCATCTGTCTTGATTTGATTTTACTTCCTTGAATCTGAAGACAGAAATTTATTTTTAATATAATTCTACTTTATTATTTTTGTTTGGGTGTTTTGCCTATATGTATATAAGAATACCATGAATATGCCTAGTTCCCATATAGGCCAGGAGAAGGTGTCATATACCCTGAACCCAGAGCTGCAAATGGTTGGTAGCTGCCAAGTAGGAGGTTGGAATTGAATCCAGGTCCTCTAGTGGAGCATGTACTTCTTTAACCACTGAACAATTTCTCTATCCCACTATAGTTTTGCTTTTAGTAACATTTATATGTGCATATATGTGCGCATATATATGTATGCCACATATATTTTAATAAATACTGAGTCCAGGAGAGTGATTTAGACTCCTTTGAGTAGAACCTCTGATGGTTGTAAGCTGTTCCACCATAATGGTAAGAAGATAAGCTCTGGAAAAACAGCAAGTACTCTTAAGAACTGAACCACTTCTTTAGCCTTAATTTACACATGGTTTGAAACCTGGAAGTAGATTTTTTTTCAAGTCCCAGGAAAGGGGCCGTTATGAGGACTTTTAATATTACATGTGTGTGTGTATGTGTGTGCGTGTGCGTGTGTGTGTGTCTATGTGTGTCTGTGTGTGTATGCACCCTTTTTCTTGGACTTGGGAAACTCCTACCCCGTCTCAGAGTTAGTTCTCCTGTTATGGAAAGAAGTAGACATGAGCAATCTGTGAAGATATCACTGCTACAAAATTACTGGCTAGGATTGTCACTACTTTCCCTTTTTATTGGTAAGTTTTTATTATCTGATGAACAAAATAGTTTGGGATGACTGTGAAATATTTGAATTTCCTTGATGCATATTAATGTTTTTAAATATTTTTAAGAATTTCATACCCACTTCCCATATGTTTCTATTAATTCCACCAACACTTCTTCCTGAAATTTTTTACAAATCCTCTCAACATTATGTACAAATTTTAAATATTTATTTATTTTATGTATATGAGTATACCATCTTCCAGTACACCAGAAGACTGCATTAGATCCCACTATAAATGGTTGTGAGCCACCCTGTGGTTTCTGGGACTTGGACTCAGGCCTCTGAAAGAGCAGTTGGTGTTTATAACTGCTGAGCCATCTCTCCAGCCAGTGCATTTTTTCTTAAAGTTACTGAGTATGTTGTGTATTTGAAGAATATCCATGATTGTAAGCCTACTTATGGGAACACAGGCAATTCAAAAAAGGTTACATCCTTGAAGAAAATTGACTCTACATTAGAATTTACACATTGAAGCAATTAGTACATTTTACTTAACCCATACCTGACTTAAGAATACTATGCAACAAAGAATAAGGCTCCATTATCCTCATATAGTGAACACATACTTTGACTGTGTTCTTTTTCATTTTCCAGGTGAGGGAGAAAATGCAACTTACATATAGTGATAATGGCAGATTCAAAGAAGCACAGGCTATCTCCTGCCCGCTGATAATTTTTTTTTTATGGTTAAACTATATTTTATTTTCCATTAGACTAAATATGATACCTGAAAGAAAGTCAAATTCTATTCCAACTAACATTTGTCTTTTTAATATAAGAGTTGGTTATTACTTTATGATAAATGAAAAAAATGTCTACCTAGAGAAGATGGAGTTATCAATGTGATCTCAATGTAAATTATGTGTTTTATTATAATATAAAAGTAGAGAATACACAAAAAAGTAAGAAGTATGTCAATGACAGAGAAAGTAGTAGTATTGCTATATTTGGTATTATCAGTATCAGAAGATTAATTCACTGAAAAGTGATATTTGTGCAAGGTGCAGTACATTCGATCAACTCAGGTATGCGCTTTATTGTCAACCTGATTACATCTGGAAACAGTAGGATAAATTTTGTGGATATTCCTATTAGGGAAAACTCAGAGGGTTTTATCTGAGCAGGGAAGATGCACCCTGAATGTAGAGGATACTATTCTAGGGGCTTATGTCTCAGATTCAATAAAGTAATAGAAAGGAGAAAGCACTTTCACCAATGCCAGCTCCCCTTTTCTGCTTACTTATGTGCAAATGTGGGAGATCTCTATTGCCATACATATTCATTATGTTAGACTAAACCCTAAAATATGAACCTCAAATAATTTCCTTTCTTCAAATGATTTGTATTATATATTTAGTCTCAATAAGAAGAAAAGTAACTTACACAGAGTTCCTGTGAATGTGTAATGAATTTTATGATATATAGTTATGTAAGCTTGGTTGTTTGACTTTGACAAACATTTGCTGAATTTGTCAAAGCTAGATAGGCTTAGATTCTCTGATAGCCAAGGAAGTAAATCATGTTTACAAAATGAAAATGTTCAAGATACTAACCTTGTTATTTAATGAATGCATTAAATGTGCTTCTATGACTACTATTGTATAAAGTTTAACAGTTGTCCATTTATTTGTTATGCCTTTGGCTACTAGTAAACATAAAATTAGTGACATCAAAATTAAGAACCAATTTTTTTATGTTGGTATGAATTTTGTATCTACTTTTTCTGGTTTGGTATGTGAATCTATTTTAATATTTTCCTATATATATTCTGAAAGAAAGAGAAGATAGTTTTATATATGGAACTTCTTACCTCTAGGTAAGAAAAAATATGATAAAATGATTCACTCAATTATCTTCTTATTAACTAATTTAATTACATCAATCATCATATGAATGTATACCTTTCTTTTAGCAACCTTATGGGTGTATTATATCTAAGTATTAATTAAAATTCCATGTATCATAAAGTTGTTTGCCTGTCTGTCTGTGTGAGCTGGCATGCATGCATGCATGTGCAAGGTATGGTGTGGTGATGGTGGTGGTGATGGTGGTGGTGGTCGTAATGGTGTGTGTGTGTGTGCATATGTGTATGTGTGTTTGTCTTTTCCTGTGTGTCTATTTGCCTGTCTGATGATATGTCTACAGAGGTTATTAGAGTATAATGGATTATCTGTAGCTGGACTTTCATTTCTGAGCAATGCAAAGTTGTTTAGAACTGAACTCCAGTTCACAAAAAAAGCAGAAATTGCACTTTACTTTAAAGCAATCTTTCCAGACCACATGATCCTTTTGATTAAACAGTGTAGAATATGTCCATAATTTTTTTTCTTTATTTTTGTTCTAGAAATTAAGTATAGCATTTAGTATATACAAGTCAGGCACTCTATCACTGATCTTCAACTCTGGGACTACAGACAGTCAGGTTTTCTATGAATATCTCATATGTCCTTTGTATTCATAATGAACTAAGCTTTCAAAAAGGTACTTTCATTGGGCAGAGATTTACTTCATTTCCAAGTCTGGCTAGGAACCTACTGTGAAGTCTAGGCTAGCTATGTTTTCGTGTGTTCCCTAAGGATGAAATGAAAATATGGTGTAAATATTCTCAATGAATTTTGTGATAATTGTGACTCAAAAAAACATTTATTGAAAGAAAAATAAAAACCTAAGTACAGAAAGAAAATTAGCTCTTATGTGAGTAATGCTTGTAATGAACACTGGCGGAATATAGTGTTATATGGTTTGTGACACTAATCTTAGGGAGACATGAACAATAATGTAACTGATAACATTTTATTTCATGCTTTACACTCAAAAAGTCTCAGTGATGAGCATTTTACCTTCTTAATATAGTATTTGTAGTTTTGCCTTTTATTTTAGTGACTAGAATTATCTAGAAATTTTTCTCTTGACTTGTAAAGTGAATCCAACTTTACTCTAAATATTAAGTAGATGATCCATTAAGTGAAATAGAAAACATTTAAATACATAGAAATTTAACAACTTATCAGGAATATATTAAAATCCAGTAATTCAAAATTGAAAAATTGTAAATAGATGACATATTGGATACACACAGGCAGTCAAAATTAAAGGATGAAATTATAACTAGACCAAGCATATCGATGAACAAACAATGGTATTGAAGCAAGAGTAAACAGTCTCATTCAGAAGGCTAAATAATGTGTAGAAGACAATGAAAGTCACTCTACTAGTTCAATATAGTTCTCATCGGGAATATGACACTTAATTGTTATATAAAAATAAACTTGCATATAAATTAAAAATAAAACTATGGTAAGGTAGAGACCAGAGAAGTATATACTTTAGTTAATTTTTATTGTTTTCAGAAGTCTAAGTAAATTTTTATATTGATTCATATTTGGGTTTCAACATAGTACCTACAAGTCAGCCTCTTGTAATTCTCAAATTGTAAACATTAGAAAGAATATGTGAGGAATATGGAGATATCTCTTCATAAAGCATTTCCTTTGCAAACATGAGAATAAACTTTATATCCCAAGAATCCACAAAAAATATACTAATGAAAAAATGGGAAATCTTAGCCAAAGAACTACACCAAATAAAGACAGCTAAAAGAGGAAGAATTATTCATCCCTAGAGATGAACCAACTAATTGGTCATCTAATAACAAATGGGGATTTCTGAAATCATATATATATATGTGTGTGTGTGTGTGTGTGTGTCTGTGTTTGTGTGTGTGTATATGTGTATGTATATGTACATGTAACATTAAATGGATTCAGTTTTCAGTTGATACATGTATTACACAGTACATACAATGCTATATGGTTGCTTTCAGAACTTAACCTTTTGGTACTATGTGAACAATTGTTTTCCTTTTTCCTGGGAAAGACCATGTCTCAACTCCCAGATTTCCTCAGTTGCCTATATTTGTTTTTATAGGGTTGAAGTCTTGTGAACTTTTCCCTGTCAACACTGGCATTTTAGCAAGCTTTCTTTAAGGATGAGATTTTCCAGCTTGGATGTTATTGCAACACAACAGTTTGATATCATCAAAGCCGAGGTGGAAAACATACGGAGGCAGAAGCTTACCCACATATGCACACAGGAGCATAGAAAGGAATGTTATTTTTCATACTTTTGTCTTTTCTTTATC